TTTGCTATTATATTTGGTATACTTAGTGGTATGTCATCTCCTGATGAAACGAAGAAGAAAACGAAACCAAAAGGTCCAAGTTCTTCAACACAAAAATAAAAAATAAAAAATTCCAAATTTCTTTTTCTTTTATATGTATTTGTAGAAATATTCATGTATTATTTGTATTTCTTGTTTTTTAAATATATTATCTATGAAGTAAAACAACATCAAACTATGTTAATTTAAATTTATTGTCCCCTCTATAGATTACAATGTCAAATACGATGTAAATGTTGTTTTATTGTATCTATTCTGGATCGAGACCTGCACGAGACTGTGAAAACTTTTTTCCTAATATAACCTAACTTGGTGGATATTTTTCCAAGCGTCGATTGTATTTGTGGATTTTGATATGAAACTAATTTAGTAGAATCATTCTCTTTTCGTTTTAAGTTTAGAATCTCTTCGTGTGACATAATCTTGTCAGTCATTCCAAGTACCCACACCCTTCATGCATTTCCGAGACAGGGCAATGGAAGGAATAATAATATTTATTTTCTATCAGAGTTTTAAACGAATCCATTTTACCTTTACTCCCGCTCTCAATCATGAACAATACAGAAACAAACTCTTCGTTATTTGAATTTAATATTTCTCAAAGAAATGATATGTAGAAGTTTGATCATTAAATAATCTAACAGTCCATTACGAGCTTCAAATTAGTGTAACACTTTTTATTGAAAAAAGATATACTCAAATAAATCAGAAAAGTTTCATATTTTTTTTTTGTACTTTTATCTATCGTTCATTGACTGTTGTGTGCTCGCTTTGATACATGTATAAAAGGTTGTCTGCAATCTAACCAATTATTTATTTTTTTGAAAAAATTCAGAGACATAAAAAGAAGCTAGAAAGATGGAAATGCTGTTTTTCAGATTGTTAACAATTTAATATTAGTAGCTACCTAATGTCCTCTTTAATCGTGAAATAATATGTGAATTTGCTGTTCACAAATTTTTATTTGAAATTTGAAAAATCTCAATTGTAAATTGTGTTAAAAGAACATACAAAGAATGCTTATAATGCTCTGTCTATTTTTAATGATAATAAATAGTAAAGAAGGTCATCTATTGCGCGTTCCATCCATTAAATGTTAATTAATCGAAATTCACTTTTGTTGATCAAAATAGTCAAATATCATTCAAGTAGTCTTAGAGAGATGGGAGACGATTTATAGTTACACTAGTGGTTCTAATCTAGCAGAAAAATTTAAACATCGTTGATTATGGAAGGAAAGAATCTAAAATAATCACATGTCAATTATGTATAACAGGGATATATACCTGTGTTGAATTAGGTAGTTTTACTCTAGTATTGTTCCTTGTAGTGCTGCTGCACTGTCCTTGTACTTTTGTTAAAATACTTGTTATTCCACTTGAACTTGTCAATGATTCTGTTTGTGCTTATGCATGCTTTTTGACGTAAGATATTCAAGTATTTGAAAGTTGAATATGAAACAGTATGAAAAAAGTGAACAAGCTTGCCTCTTAACTGATAGTAACTAACTTCTCTTCAACCAGCGTTAGTTTTTTTTGGGATGGCAATAAGTTTTAAAAATACTGTAGCCGAATTGGTTTTCAATTGCTCAACGCTGCTTACTCCTCAAAATAATTTAGTTGAGAAACGATTCATAAATTAACAATTTCTGGCTACGTCACTGATCATTTTGTGACTAATTAAATCACCAATTTCAATTCTATATGAACTAGAATCTATTTCATTACGACTATCAAATATTTGTGGACGACTAGGTAACATTGTATCAAATTTAACTTATACAAATATAGTTCCATATATCAGGCTTTCATCAAGTAAGTATTCTCTTGTTAATGATGTTATTGATTAGAATAGTTGAATTAATATGATCTATCTTGATGGTACAGCTGAAACTATGTAAGATTCATTTCCATTGAGAAAAGTTATTAAAGATAATGAATTAAAACGTTATGAGAATTTATATTTAATGAAAAATTAATGAAATCTTATATTGAAACCATTAATGGATGTCCAATCATTGATAGTTCGAATTATGAAGATGATTTGAATATGTTAAGTGATCTAGATCATCAGCCAACTAGTTTTTCTTTACAGTAATTCCAATCAACTTATGTAAAAGAATAAACGAAATTCCTTTTTTTTATCATTCATAGTTATCACTTAAATGTTTGGATGTGTCAAATGATGATATCATCGATGAATATGATATTAATATAAAGCAATATATCATTTAGAATAATTTACATATTATATACTTGAATGTATAAGTATTTGAACTTGTCAAATAAACAAGCATTAATTTTCTTCTTCTACGCTTATGTAATCATTCAATATAAGTTGTAAAGTAGATCAAAATAGAATATACTTCAAAACAAAAGAAGAAATATCCATCATCACTTAGTAAGATCAATCTTACTGCAGTTACTTTCATACTTTCTAAATCAAACATACTCATTGGCTGAAATAAATTAGCAATTGTAAATTTTTTTTACTATTTAAATTCGGCTTGTATTTATTTGAGCAATACAAAATATAGAATGAGCAATAATAAAAACATGATTTAGCAGTAATTTTTGAGCAATAAAAAATGTTTATTTGAGCAATATTATAATATAAAATGAGCAATATTATGATATTAAATGAGCAATATTTTGACATTAAATGAGCAATAAATAATTTATTATATAACAATATTAATTTCATATTTGAGCAACAAAAAAAGATAGAAGTGAATTATTTTTATTTATAATTTAAAAGAAACAAAAAAGAAAAATGGGTGTGGGTGTGGGTGTGGGGTAGACATCGGCGTGATCAACATCTTTTAGTCACGGTCACGTCACGGTCACGACTTTTTTTCGAAAAATGGTCACGATCTTGACTCACGACCGTGACCGTGACTCACGGCAGTCACGGCGGTCACGCCGATGTCTAGTGTGGGGTGTGGATGTGGGTGTGGGTGGGTGTGAGTGGGTGTGGGGTGTGGGTGTGGGTGTCAGAGATGTCCATCGCGGCTGAAAATCTGCCGCTGCCGCGCCGCGGCCTTAGAAAAAAAAAGCTGCCGCACCGCTGCCGCGCCGCGGCGGTTTATAAAAAAATGTTGCCGCGACGCTGCCGCACCGCGATGACTTATAAAAGAAACGCTGCCGCGCCGCTGCCGCGATGAATTATAAAATAAACGTGCCGCCACCGCGCCGCTGCCGCGACGATTTTCAAAAAAGTGTTTCTAATTTCACTGCTGTGACTATATTTGACCAGAGATATGGGTACTAGTCCATCAGATTTATTCAATATCAGGGCGTTTCATTTGTAAATCGTGAAATTCCATTAAATTCATACAGTTTTTCAATGTCCTCCAAAAAAATCCTGCCGCTGCCGCGCCGCTGCCGCGATGGTTTTTTAAAAAACCTGCCGCTACCGCGTCGCTGCCGCGATGACTTTTAAAAAAATCTGCCGCTACCGCGCCGCTGCCGCGGTGATTTTTTTTAAAAACCTGCCGCTGCCGCGCCGCCACCGCCACCGCGGCAGCGGCAGCGGCAGCGGCGGCGGCGCGGCAGCGCCGCGATGGACATCTCTGGTGGGTGTGGGTGTGTGGGTGAGGGTGTGGGTGTGGGTGTGGGTGTGGGTGTGTGGGTGTGGGTGTAGGTGTGGATTCATTGTAGTTTAACACCCACACCCACACCCAAGAATCAGAAAATAGTGTGCTATGAGTTGTGCTTGAGTCATGTATAAAAGTTATATATAAATTTCATGAGGATAAGAAAACGTTTATTGTTGTAAAAAAACGAGTTATTATTGCCCTTTTATATACATTTTACGCTTCATTTTAATTAATTATTGCTCATTTCATGGAATTATTGCTCATTCCATCTAATTATTGCTCATTCAATATATATATTGCTTATTCAATATATATATTGCTCATTCTATATATATGAGCTAATTGCAAGTTTAATGTACCGTTGTATTTTTGAGCATAAAATTTCAATATATCGAGCTCTACTTAACCAATCCTCATGATTTTTTTATCATATGTTTTACTAAGCAACCACCATCACCACAAAAAAAATCACTAGATTATCTCGAATAAGTCCTGAGATATTGACTGCACAAAGTTTAAAAGTCGGATTTCTGCTGCCATCTTTCGGAGAAAAAGTTGTATGGTCAATTGGTTACTTGTCAATTGAATTTTGACAGATGATGACATTTATAATGTACAATCTATACTTCTTGAATATGAAATCTAATGGTTCTTTCAATGTAGTTTTTCTTATAATTTTATCGAAATATCATGTGTACATACAACTCTTTATTTTCGGTCACGCGAGATGAAAATTCATTTTGCTATTCAATGATCCGTTTGAAACTAATCGGGCTGGTGTCAAACGAAAGGCAGTTCATACTATATGAAACTACTAGAGATTATCAAAGAATTGTTCTACTTCTTGTTAATAAAAAATATAAAATAAAATTTAAAAAATCGAGCGACATACAAAATGTCACACGAGATTTTTCAATTTGTTTGAAGTATAGTTCTCTTACACTGTGACAGAACATAACCGAATCTTGACCATTTTGACTAATCATTGTGGGTAACTATTGGTTAAAATATCAGAATCAGAAGACCTTCCTATCATGTGAAAGAGAAAAAAAATCGTAAATATGTCACGCGAGATTTTTTCAGAAATCTGTCACGCGAGATCTTCATGCATCCAATTTCTTCACACATAAGATTGGAACGATTACTTTTTATATGACTTAGTACCATATGTAAAGAGCTATCAGGGGACATATGAATTGACTCTACTTTGAATTTGACAGATGGGGAAAGCCACAGGAAAACGGTTTTGTGTATGCATATCCATTAATTATCAGCTTATTTTCAATCTTTAGACTATAAATACATAGATCCACATATAATTTAGAATAGATTACATTATGTTGTTCTCTCTTCTAGATGAACTATGGTTTCTCGTCGACAGATTCAACTTTACAACTTGAAATATCGCCAAAAACTTCAACATCGACGAGCAATATCAAAATCGTTTGACCTTCACTTTAAAGCCAAACAAAACGCAAGACAAAGAAAGTGTCGGCAACGGAAAAAAGAAGCTCAGAAGAATGTAGCAATAGTTCCTATATCTTCATCAACCAAAATTGATTCTCGAAAGGTCGAAGGAGCTAAACGTCGTCGAGCCAATGCCAGAAAATCGAAAAATGAAGCTGAAAAATTGCTGAAACAAGTTCAACAATTACAGAAAGAGAATCGAGCGATAAAAAGATTACTATCTCAACAACGTTCAGCTGAAGTGAACGATGTTAATACAACAACAGCTACGTCACCAACACATTTATTCATTAATAATATTAGTCCATCATCTAAGAAACGTGCAACTAAACGATTACTTTCGGAAAAGGAAAATCTACCTCGTGGTTCTGTTTCAAAATTAAGAAAACTAGGTGTAAATTTATCCAATAACTATGATCCACCATCTAGTACACCATCAATACTCCAAAAAGAGATAGAAGACTTTTTATGTCAAGATGATATTAGTAAGCAAGCACCTGATAAGAAAAAACAATTACATGGAAAACAGATTAGATATCTATTACACCATTTATCAACTGTTCATCAACGATTTGTAACCGAAACTGGTAACAGTTGTCATTATTCTACATTCACACGATATGTTCCAGATTTTGTGATAAAGCCAAACGCTAATGACTGGGGTACCTGCTTATGTGTCACCTGTCTTAATCCTCAAATGAAATTTGAAAAATTACAAAATTTGAAATCTCGATATTCAATTATAAAATCAGTACTTATCGATGGTTTAACAGATATAACAGAGCTGGTAACAGATGAAATTAAAACAAAAGATTTCAAAAGTAATTTAGCAATACTCAAAGATGAACAATTCACTATAACATATAGTGAATGGATAAAGAAGAAAAACGACGAATCTAATATTTTAGTCTCAACAAAAACAACGATCACTTCGTTTATTGCTGATTTTGTAAACAAATTTACTAATGAAATCGAGGTATGTATGTAGAGTCGTATTTGAAAGAAGGGAAACAATAGAGTGAAATTTGAAATTGCACATAACTACAAGCATTTTGCATTGTATGGGTAAAACTCTTGAGAACGAGTATATTTTGTAGCGTTTTTATACTATGAAGGCACTGATGATTTTTTTATGTTTATAGAATTTAACACATCATATTGATCGAATGCGTCAACAATTTCGAGCAGCAAAGAATGCGAGACAAATGGCGATGGAAGAAGACGATGTTGCTACTATTCATTTGGACTGGTCAGAGAATTTCAAGTTGAAACAAGCACGTCAAGATAAAGGTAAATAACTGGATAGTCGGTGTTTACTTAAAGACTTATATAGTACAATGCTTGGAATAAAATTTCCCTCTGCTAATCGTCGTGTAGATTTTGCCATTCCTATTAGCTATTATCATTAACAACTAACGCATGTTTTTTTAGCTTCTTATTACTACGAACAGCAAATATCGATATTAAGTGGCTATGTGTGGATGAAAAATAATAACTACAGTTTCGGTTGTGCATCTGATGATACTAACCATATGTCGGAAGCAACATGGACAGCATTACAACCGATTTTGAACAGTTTACAGAATAATTCATCGAAAATTACTAAGTTAAATTTTATATCTGACTCTCCTGTTTCTCAGTATCGAAACAAAACCAGTTTCTATCTCATGAAACAATATGCTACAAATAATAAAATTACGGTGAAATGGATTTTCTTGGAAAGTGGCCATGGGAAAAATATAGCTGATGCTATCGGTGCTACTATTAAGAGGTCGATGGATCAAGCTGTGGCATTTCATCCAGATGAATCTTATACAAACGCACTTGATCTGATTGATGATATTAAGAAAAATACGACTATAAAACTTTTTACTTATACAAAAAATGAAATTGATTCATTTAAGAAACGAATACCATCGCTGACAGCTGTCAAAGGGACAGCATCATTTCACGAAGTCACGGTCAAACCAGATGGTCAATTTTATGCAAAAAATACTTCTTTTGGTACCGAACGATTGCTGAAAGTAGATTTTTAACTAGATATTGATTTATTAGACTATACATTATTTTGTTTTATTTAATTCTTTTAAGTGATGTACATTAAAAATATAGATTAGTATTGACAAAGCTACTTATTGATCTTTCAGTTTTTTATAGTGTACTGTGTTTTTTATTTATTTTTGTCATTGTAACTAATAAAACTAGAAAACAACTGGTGTCGAAACAAAAATATTAGTACTAGAAAGTTTAAATTCATGTTTAACGGAGATCATATCACAATTATGTTCTTAGCGCGCCCTATGAAATTTGTATTCCCGACAATTCTCGAAGTAAATATCACACTAGTATGCGCCGTTATGCATATAAAACCCTTTCATCATATAATCACAAGTACCAACATCAAATCCAAAAAAAACGGATTTTCAATACATATGACAAAAACTTATATTTTGCGACTTTTATGTTTTTAGAAAATCTCTCGTATCTCGGCTATTTTGATAGTGGTAGTTGGGAAAATTTAATCCTATCCTCTTCTCATATACTATTATAGAATGCACAAAAAATTGCGTTCAAAATTAAAAAAATTTTTTGTCGATTTTTTTTAATCAAACGGTACAATAAACTTGCAATTAGCTCATATATTGCTCATTCTATATATTTATCGCTAAATTTGATTATTGCTCATTCTGTATTTTTTATTGCTCAATTAAATATAAGTCTTTAAATTCTACGTTTCAACTTATTTATGAAAATTTTCTTTGTTGTAATACGGGTTGCACCAGTGATCGAACTGAAAAAGTTTTATCATCAGATGTATTTTATCAGTTGTATGCTAAGCGAAAAGTAAATCATCATTAATATAAAGTCATCTTTTTTAAAAAGATTCATAAAATTATGATTGAATATTTTGGCATGTTTTTGATAGGCTATATTTTTTCGACTAGTAACATGATTTGGATGCCAGATATGAAATGGATGTGGAACACAAACATCATATTCACATTCATACACCTCACACTCACACTCATGTTACTTTATGATTTGTGCATGATAGTGTTGATTTTACCTGTCGTACGAGTGCTAAAGATAAAAAACGAACGAAAGAAAGAAAGAAAGCCACGACGTTCACACATACAATGCATTCACCATTATATACTCCCGTTACGTCTTTTTTATTGCAGACAGTTGAATAATGATTGTTATCCTATTTATTTTTTTCGTCGTCTTATGGGTAATATACCCAGGTCGATCGTTCCGGTCACCGGATACTGCAGGAACCGGCAGGAAAGACGCGGAAAAATCGCCGGTTCCTGCAGGAAAACACCGGAAATCAACGGAACATGGAAGCAGTATACCGGCCGGAAATTTTTCGGACTTTTTCCGGCGGATTTCCGGCCGGTTCCTGCCGGAAAGAACAGGAATTGGCTGGAATCCACCGGAAAAAATCCGAAAAATTTCCGGCCGGAATACTGCTTCCATGTTCCGTTGATTTCCGGTGTTTTCCTGCCGGAACCGGCCGGTACTTTTCGACCTGGGTACGTAAAACTTCAATATTTTACACTTCGTGGTCCACTACCAGGTTTGTCGCCACATTTCTTTATTGGGAATATGATTCAATCAGGTTTATTGTTTGGTAAAAAACCATTGTCTGAAGTCTACATATCATTCAAGAAACGTTTCGGTGATATTTATCAATTTTGGATGGGTTTTACTCGTTACATTGTCGTACATAATATTGATGACGTTCAATACATTTTTACTCATCGAAATATATATGATCAAGGAGAGATATTTTTAGAAAAATTCAGCATTTTTTCCCCGATAGTATCATTTGTAATACAGATATGACTTTTTTTTTCTAGTTTTGATAAAGATTTTTCATTTTGATTTATAGGTGCCAAATTCAAGCGACATGGTGCGCTCACAATGCCTCTATTTCGTCGTAACAAAATTATTTCGCATATTAACGTAATTATTGACGGTACTGACAAACTATTAGATAGATGGCGTGCTAGACCATCTGGACAGATACATACGGATATTATCGAGCAGTGTCAAAATCTTCTACTTGAAGTCTTTGGACTGATTGCTTTTGATTACGATTTGGAGACACTTGATAATAATAATTCAGGAAATAAGAATGAACTAACTAAAGCTCTAAGAGATATCATGAGTATATTTAGAATGGTTTTATATGCACCTAGAATCATTCCAATTATCTATTTGAAATTGAGCTCTCGACATCAACGAGCACAGGTAACCGTTGAACGATATCTTAATAAAATGGTCGAACAAGAAATGGCTGAAAGTCCAGATTCAATAGCACAACGAAAGAAAACATCATTGATCGCATCACTAGTCAGCGCATTACAAACAGATGAGAAAGCTGAAGCAAAAAAAAAGGAAGAAGATAAAAAAGGTAAAATTTATTCGTAAAATCTTTTCATTCGATCATCGTTTCCAATAATTCATCATAGATGTGTGTACTTAATCTGTGTCCGAAAGATTACACGCCAAAATTTACGTGACACTTTTGAGGATTGAGTCGAGGTAGGGAATGATACATACTTCAAATTTATCGTATCTTATCGATCACTTTCATTGATGTATATCTTAAAAGGTTTAAGAGTTGTCGATTTTTGACAATTGATAAATTTCATTTTTCTGAAGTCGCAACGAAAAGATTGTTCATGCCCATCTTTCGGACAGATGGGCACATCTTTGTCATAATATCATAAAAATTATTGCAGTACAAAAGATGAACTTTTCTCTCGAGTCGCTGATCGAGCTGAAATCTTCAGGGTAGACCATTAGGTGAATTTGTAATTCGATAGCACAAACTAAATTGTCTCAACAGAGTTTCAACGACAAAAAGTCAACTTTATACAATATGTGTTCACATTGAACTATGACTGTAAACCCCTCCCCATAATAGAAGCCCCTCCCATATTAGAAGCCCCCCCTTATTAGAAGCCCCCTCTGAGATGAACAACGTGTTTGACGTATTAGAAGCCCCCTAATTTTTCGAAAAAATTTTAAAATTTTCAAGATTTTTTTCGCATTTTCACGCTAAAACTGCTAAAATTTTTCGATTTTCAGGTAAAAAGTTGGCTGACTCTTATCAAGCTTAGCTAACATCTGAAAATAATGTCAAAAATCTTCTGGAAAACTCATAAAAACCTTGAAAGTCGCTAAAAACCCTTGCGAACCCTTTTTCCTGGCAGTTTACGAAATTTTTTTGAGACTTAATAGAAGCCCCCTCCAGAAGCTTCATATGATAGACATATTAGAAGCCCCCCCGGGGGCTTCTAATATGGGGAGGGGTTTAGCTTATCTTGATTGTTTTGTTCTTTTACTTCTAACATTCTGCTGTTGACAGGTTTATCATGAAAGGAACTTTTTGATGAGATGCTCATGTTTATGATTGCTGGTTATGAAACGACGTCTATCGCTCTTGCTTGGTCTATTTATCAGCTAAGTAAATATCCACGAGTTCAACAAAAGATCAAAACAGAGCTAATGCAGCATAGCTGTAGTCAATATTTATCATTGGATCATCTCGACTCACTTATTTATTTGGATTGCTTTATCAATGAAGTACTTCGTTATATTCCAACGATTGATGGAACAAGTCGCACAGTGATCGTTGAAGACTGTCTACCCAAAAGCGGTACTCGACTCTACAAAGGTATTCAAGTACTCATTCCGACATCTGCTCTTGCTCGAGATGCTCGTCACTGGAAAATCGATCCTGATTTATTCTATCCAGAAAGATTTCTTAATGAAGATAAAAATCATCATCCATATGTATTTCTACCATTCGGAAGTGGCCATCGTCAATGTCTCGGACAAAATTTGGCTCAATTAGAACTCAAAGTAATTCTAGCTCGCATGCTGCAACAAATAACTATCGATGATGGCGGTCCTGAAGTCAATGGAGGCGGATATATTCAAGCATTGACTATCATGCCCAAACATGTCGGAGTTACTGTTGAATTCAACTGATGCATGAACATTGATACTCTTCTTTGTCACTTTTACTTCTTAATTTTGCTGAATAAGTGAACAAGTTTTGTGATAAATTGATACGGAATAGTATGTTGATAACAAATTAGATTTTCGAAATTACTGACATAGGGCTAGATAATTTGTTAGGAAGTTGCGGTGATTAAGAACTCGTAGGAAACAAATTCTAAGCAAATTACAGACATTTCTTTAGTATCCAAACTTATAAATGAGACTATAAGTCTTTAAAAATATAGAAACCGACTCCTGAAAATCTAAGAATTTTCGATCATTCTGAAAATTTCCCAGTAATTTCTTAAACTTCATATGATTTGAGGATTTGAATCACACATGCAATAAAATCGTATGGTATATTTGTTCTTAGTAGATACTGGAATTTTTCATTAATTTCCGAAATCCTACGTACACCCTCACACAGTGGACAATCAGGCGATAAAATCGATTTTCGAGAGTTGATTCGCATTCAGAGGTGGGATCGGTTGGCATTTTTGCCAAACCGAACCGACCGTAACCGAAAAAATCTCTAACCGAACCGAATGTAACCGACCGAATATTTAAAAATTTCTAACCGAACCGACCGTAACCGACCGAATTTCAAAAATTTCGTAATCGAACCGAGTTTAGAGAAAGGGAAGTTTAGCTTATGTTAATTAGGGTATTAGTGCTTTATAAATTAGCAACAACAAATCGAACAGTAGCAACTATGAGCAATCAACATCTAGAGAAAGTAACGAAGAAAGATTATTTATTGAATCCTGTTACTGTATGATAACTTTCTTACCTCTCACAACAAATTTAAAAAACATGTGAGATAATACGAGTTACGAACAACAGCTAATTGTTGTACGATTACACTCTTTTTTCTTCTTATGTCTCAAAAAGTCCATCGAACTCAAATCAAAAGATTATGTCGATTCTTTCTAACCGAACCGAACGTAACCGACCGAATTTTTTAAAATTTCTAACCGAACCGA